TACTATATATATATATATATATATATATATATATATATATAACTTGATTATGTATATATTGCTAGAATGTAATTGATAATATGAAAAAAATATGGATAGAAAATCAAATCAATACACAATTGACTTAATTAAATTAAAATATTTTTAGAAAACCTTAATTAAATTATTTTAAACTCTTTTTTAAAAACTTATCCCCATTCATTGTAACTCCTTCCTTTTTCTTTCAAACTTCTTTTCGTCATCTTTTTTGCTCCCCTAAATTTACGATAATTTTTTAATTGAAAATGAAAAATATTTACTATCTGAACAATTTCCTCTCGTCTAATAATAGCTCTAAACACATTTTCACTTTTTTTTTAATTACAACAAAATCCTTTTTGGACCTACCAATAGAAATTAGTGGCTAAAATTAGGACCCCAATTGTCAAATTGACAAATGAGGAACTTCTCCAGCTATTTTCCAATTCCCCTATATTCCACAAGGAACAATGAATTCCAAATCCCCAAAATATTATTATTTTTTAAATAAAATAAATATAAAAGCAAAATTGGATCAATATTTGCTTAAAAAGATTATTAAAATAATATAGTTTTGGTTATATCTTTACAGCTTCTTATGAGCTAACAATGAACCATTAAATATTCTACTTCCAACCCTATTCTTTTGTTATTTTCCTCTCCTACAATTTCCCTCACCTAATTTTTATTCACTCGATGTCTGATATCTGATATTTATATTAAATTACTAATTAAATTCAAATCGCATCGTACAAAAAAATGAGAATGATTAGAAAATGATACTTTCAATATAATTTTCTTTATACGTAGAATATAAATTTAAAATGTTTGATTGAGAATACTGAAATAATTGATTAAAATCGAACTAAGACTAGGCTTTATTCATTCAATATCTTATATCTGATATTTATATTAAATTACTAATTAAATTCAAATCGCATCGTATGAAAATGAGAATGATTAGAGGATGATACTTTCAATATAATTTTCTTTATACGTAAAATATAAATTTAAAATATTTGATTGAGAATACTGAAATAATCGATTAAAATCAAACTAAGACTAGGCTTTATTCATTTGATATTTGATATCTGATATTTATATGAAATTATTAATTAATACAAATTGCATCACATAAGAAAACGAGAATGATTAAAAGATGATACTTTTTAATATAATTTTCTTTATACATAGAATATAAATTTAAAATATTTGATTAAGAATATTAAAATAATCGATCAAAATCGAATTAAGACTAGGCTATATGGATAGAAGAGTCATCAAAGAATACTAATCATTACATAATTGTTTTAGTGATTGCATTGGTATTATTCTTTCTATTTTAAAATGTTATTTAATTACTCATTTATCATGAGTTAAAAGAGAATAATTCATGGTTATCATATTCTAAGAATTTACCCCTATACAAAATCAATAGAATTTAGTCAGACTTGAATTTTTTGTTAAGTGTTCTCATAAATATTACCATTAAAGATACAGTTACAAATTAAAACAATATAAATTATATTTTTTTAATCTTATATAATTTATTCATATTATCTTAGCTTATATTTTATCTAAAAAAAAATTTGTTTATATATTTTTGGTTTTTACCTCAATCAATTGCATCCTCACATTTTTAAAAATTTTGAATATCAATTCAGTTGTACATTCTTTTTTTTTTTCAAGTAAACAATCAAAATTATAGAATTTCTTTCCTCTTTCTATTTTAAAAATTAATTTACTACATTATCTTCTTTTTGGTACCCATTTCTTGTTTTACTTCATTCATTTCCGTCTATATTTTTCATTTTAATTTTTTAAAAATATATTTAGTAAGTTTTAATTGTAATACACTTGTTTTATTTATAACGATAGAGATTGAATAACACATTTAAGAATACAACTATAGATAAAGTTACAAATTCATTTATAAGTTTAGAAGAATTCGTTAACTTTGGTTAAATTCTATATTTATATTCTACATTTTACTTAATATATATAAATAAGTTGTCCAGAATTTAATAAAAAAATTCATAAACTCAATAACCTAAGTTTTTCTTTATCACAAGGTTCAAAAAAATATTTTTAATATGTTACACATGTCTATCTTAAGATGATATAATTCACAAATTCTATTTACTATTTTTTTCATTCTAATTTATATGATACTTTTTCAAAATTCAAGTTGAAATTCTCTAATATTAACATTTTGCCATATATTCTAATACTTTTTAATTGGTATATCTCATATATTTTATCTTTATATTATTTGAAATTTAGTTTGGTAACAAAGATTAATATTTGAGACCAAGTTGCCCCTTAATTTCCTCCATTTTTTTTAAAAATAAATAAAATAATAATAATTAAAAAATAAAATAAAATACCCCTTACCCCCCCCCCCCCCTTTTTAACCCAAGCTTCATAAACCCCCCATTGGTACCATATAGTTGTTGCATTGTGGTTGTATAGATAGCGGAATCCAACTTCACTATCTCCACCAACCACCACCATGGCCGGCGGAGAACTCATTGCCGTCGCCGGCGACTCTACCAAAATCCCTCTCCAGGTTGTTCATGATGTTTGTCGAATTTCCGGTGCCGGATTTGCTGGTTTCTTCAAGAAAGACTGTACTGATTTAGCTAGAAGAGTGTCCCTTTTGGCTTATTTGCTTGAGGAAATCAGAGATTCCAACACCCATTTGGGTTCTTCATCATCTTCCCATGATTCATGCTTGTATGATCTCTCCATAGCTCTCAAAGCTGCAAAAAGACTTCTTTTAGCAGCAAATGACTTTGATCCCAAGATCTCAGCTGTAAGTATATAGTAATGATCCTTATGCATTTGTAAACTTGATTTTTTTTTTGAATTTGTGTATCTGTACTTGGGTAGTTAAGTTTGGGGGTGGGGGATTTGACATGTGAATTCCCAAAGTCTTAAGTTTTTTAGCTGAAAATTGTGAAATCTAGCATTGTAGTTGTTTTTCCTGTTACGTGTTGGTCATTTCGGAAACCCAATGGTGTGGATTAGTGATCAATGAAGTGGGTTGTGAACCACGAGGACTCTGGTTTCAATGGTAGATAATGCTAGGTGATATCTTCTCGTTTGTCCTATAGCTTTGGTAGACAGAGTTATGTGTTACCTATTGTTTGTTGGAGGTGATAAGTATCTCATGGAATTAGTTGAGGTGCGCTCAAGCTGGCAAAGTCACCTCGGTTATCAGAAAAGAAAAATTGGCATTCCTTTTGTGGTTCTGTGTTTGAAGGTGGATAAATTTCGGTAGAAAGAATGGAGGTTCTTTGACTTTTTCTGTGTTAGGAATTGGGAAGATGTGATAAATTTGGATTCAAAATTTGGCAAGAGATCCTTTTGGGGTTGTTTAGATTTAAAGTTGTTTGATTTGATAAATAATTAAGATTCATTTGCCACATTGTGCATAATCCACACTTGTGAAATGAATGATGCAAGTTTTCTCTTCTCGATGACGTTTAATTAAATGGAACTTTTATAATAGATATCTTCAATGTTGCCACAGTTTACTGAAGTTCTTTGGTAGCAAGTTTCATTCAAGCTAATACTGTGTGCCTTTCTCAAAGTGTGTTGTTTCTTGATTGAAGGATGCGGAAAGGAAGAAAATTGTCTTTCAATTTCAATGTGTAACATGGAAATTGGTGAAATCCCTAGGCAGCTTACCATATGACCAGTTTGACATATCAGAAGAAGTACAAGAGCAGGTTTGTTTTGAGGTTTTACTTTTTCCTGCTTATGCTGTTTTCTCTGTTGGATTTCCCCCTTAACGTTTCTATGTTTCCAGGTTGAATTGGTCAGATCACAGTTGACACGAGCTAAAGAGAGGTATGGTGGACCTTTGGCTTCATATGTATTATCTCGAGCATTATCCCAACCATTAGATAAGGAGATTGATCCGCTTCAGTCGGGCAGTCGGGGAGTTGGAAGTTTACATCTAGAAAATGTTGGCAATATTGATCATGAAGTTTGGCCAAAACTTGGAGGTCTTCCCTTAGGTAACACCCCAAACGGCAATGTTTGTGTTCAGATAGTTCAGGAACCAGAAAATCTAAGGAATTCATCCAAAAATTCTGAGGTTACTTCTCCCAAAAGTCCTGGTTTGGCCAGGGAAGATGACTCACCCAGCAAGAAACTTGTGGAGAGTAAGAAGCCCAATTCTCCTATAATTCCTGAAGAGTATCTTTGCCCTATATCCCTTGAGCTCATGAGGGATCCTGTAATTGTGGCCACTGGACAGGTACCGTCCTCGTCAGTCTGATACATTATCATTTGACTGCATATTTGCCTATCTTTGGCTTTTAGATGGAAGTTATTCTTGGAATTGTATCTTTTTAGGTGTAAAATCTTCAAATGTAGTGTTCTTGAAGTAATGCTTAATGTAGACTTTTCTTATTCCTACAGACTTACGAGAGATCTTTCATACAAAGATGGATAGACGGTGGCAACACAAGATGCCCAAAAACTCAGCAAATACTCCAAGATCTTACGCTGACACCAAATATTGCTTTAAGAAGTCTCATTTCTGATTGGTGTGCAAAGAACAACGTAGAGCAGCCAACTGCATTAGCAAATGGGAGAATAAAGCGAAGTGATGGATCGTTTCGTGATGTTAGTGGGGATATAGCAGCTATTGAGGCAATTGTACGCAAACTTTCAAGCAGGTCCACTGACGATCGGAGGGCTGCAGTAGCGGAGATCCGGTCTCTATCCAAAAGAAGCACAGACAACAGAGTTTTGATTGCTGAAGCTGGAGCAATCCCGTTATTGGTCAACTTGTTGACATCTGAAGACAGTCAAATCCAAGAAAATGCTGTCACTTCTATTCTTAACCTTTCTATATTTGGCAACAACAAGGGGCTTATCATGCTTGCCGATGCTGTTCCTTCAATTGTTCAAGTTCTCAGAGCTGGAAGCATGGAAGCAAAAGAAAATGCAGCAGCGACCATCTTTAGTTTATCACTTGGAGATGAGAACAAAATTATAATAGGTGCATCGGGGGCCATCCCAGCTCTGGTAGAATTGCTTCAGACTGGAAGCACCAGAGGGAAGAAAGACGCTGCAACAGCATTATTTAACTTGTGCATATATCAAGGAAACAAGGGCAGGGCTGTTCGGGCAGGGATTATACCAGTACTGTTAATGATGCTGAAAGATTCAAGCAGCTGCATGGTTGATGAAGCCTTGACCATTCTTTCAGTTCTTGCCAGCCACCAAGAGGCCAAGGCTGCCATAGCAAAAGCTAGCACGATTCCTGTATTGATAGATCTACTAAGGACAGGTCTACCTCGTAATAAAGAGAATGCTGCTGCTATCTTGCTATCCTTGTGCAAAAGAGATACTGTGAACTTATCTTGCCTTCGTAGGCTCGGTGCACTTATACCTCTTACAGAGCTTGCTAATACTGGCACAGAAAGGGCCAAGAGGAAGGCTACTTCATTGTTGGAGCACCTTCAAAAACCTCTGCAACCTTGACTGGTATTCTATCAGCGAAGGATTCATTAATTGCTTCTTTCATTCTTACCTAACCGTGAATTACACGATTCCATTTATAGTGTGATATAAAATCTGAGAAAACGAACATGAGAAAATAATTCATTCTCATTGCTTGTTGCATCAGTGTATCTATATTTAGTCTGTTTTCGAGTGAGTAACTGATTCGTTTGACCTGTATTTTTTTTCACTATTTGTTACTAATTGATCAATTTGATGTCTGCCACACTAAGGTGTGACGGAAATTTATCAACTCTGTGTAAATGAAACATTTTGATTTGTGAAAAATTGCTCTTTTCTTTTCCTTTATCCTTCTACTTGTGATGTCTTTGTAAATTGATGCTGCATTACTTTCTGCAGAAGAATCTGTATGATAATATTTTCATAAAGTGATGCTATCTGTTGTTAATGATTCCGGGATAATGGCCAGCAGCCTTATTTTCTGTTTATGAGGAAGCGTTACTCGGTATTTGCGTTTCTGTTGGTAAAAGATAGTAGGTATTTCATGTAATTAGTCGAGACCCGCGCAAGTCGGTTGAAACATAGATCTTTTGAAAGGGAAAAGTGCAAGTATGATCTCTCAAATCTCAATCAATGAACATCATTTCTAAGAATTACTTTCTTTGTTCGTATGGTTTTAACTTGACACAAAATTTAAAAAAATAAAGAAATTTTTTGAATCTTATGGTCTTAATCTTGTGATCTTATATGCATCACGTGAAAAAGTTATGAAAAAGAGATAATTTTTTTTTTAAATGAATTAAAACGAAAAGCATAAACAAGCAAATTATAACGAAGAGAGATTTATAAGAATAGCGCCGTAACAAGTTACTAGTTCACTCACCACCTTATCTCATTTCCATAAACCGTTGCTAAATTACATATAAATATTCTTAAAATAATATTTTATCTACTTTATCATCCTAAATTCCTAATTCTAGAAAAATAAATTTTAAAAATTATTTATTTAAATTTTCTTCCTTCCTACCAAATACACCCTTTGAGGAAATTGGCTGGCAAAGCTTTTCTTGGTCTTTGTTTGGCAGTGACTCAACTTAGAAAATAACACAATGTTGGTCTAAAATATTACTAAATAATTCTACGCGCATTAAAAAGATTCCCAAATACTTTTAATAAAATAGTAAAGAGTCAGGCGTAGTCAAAATTTTTAATAATCGAGTTCAAAATTTGACAAAATAAACACACAAAATAGTTGAAGGGTTCTACATCTACTATATATATTTAAAAATTTGTTCTAATCATATAAAAAAATATAATTTTTCATCGAAAGGGGTTCGAATGAACCCCTAAAGCTATATTGGCTCCGTCACTGACGACTCCTCAAGCGAGTCATTAAGCTATATTAAACGGATTTTCTTCAACTTTTCAATCATTTTACTTTATTATACTTTATTTTTCTTATAAATTTATTCGTAATATTATATAAAGACACAAAACGATACACTTTATGTGAACATTGTCTTTATTAAAATAATACTATATAATAAGACCCTAGCTCGTTTTATTTGAGTTATCAATATCCAGTAGGATCACATGTGCTTTACAGAAAATGTAATTCACATATAAATAAAAATTAAAAAGGTTGTTACAATTGTCAATGCTTTGAAAGTTAATTCTCTTTCACATGCAAAGAAAAACTAAAATAATGACAAATATACATATATATTTAATTAATAAAAATTATACTATTTTTAAAAACAAAATCAATACTGCATTATTTAAAAACAGTAATGTTTATGATTTGCTAATAAATAAGACGTTTAAAAAAAGTAATAAAAGGCTTTAGACAAATACTCTTATAAAAAGTAGCTTTTTAATTACATAAAAACATAAGTAAGAAATCTCCGCGATATACTTAACCAACTGGCTCTTTATGGTGATTGTTCACTCGACTTGACTCAAACCCAAACACAAAAATAAAAGGAAGAAAATATCCACAATATACTTAAAACAACTTGTTAGGACCGAAAATAAGCAGGTGTAAACGTGAAAGCTAGCAAAGCAAACCTCGAAAGACTACGAGTAAGAAGACAACGAGAAATATACCAAAAGACACAAAGATTTAACGTGATTCGGTCAATCGACCTACGTCCACAAAGGAGATGAGCAATCCACTATAAATATGAGAGTACAAAATACAGAGAGAAACAACCTCAACCAATTCACTCGGAATACATGGGAGGTTCACACAAGTGATAACGCATCAAGCTTGTGACCCACAAATTTTCTCCCTAACCAAAACTCTCAAAACCCTTAAAACTACATTGTGAATGCTGATTAAGTTAGAAGGAACATGTCTCTATTAATAGAGTCCTAAACCTTTTCCTAAAAGGAAAATTTATTTATGGTAAGAAATTTAGGGCAAATAAAATCCAACACTAGCTCTTTATGATCGTTCTTCATTCGAGTTGACTCAAACCCAAACACAAAAGTAAAAGAAAGAAAATCTCCACAATATACTTAACCAACTTGCTTTTTATGGTGGTTCTTCACTCGACTTGACTCGAACCCTAACATAAAAGTAAAAGGAAGAAAATCTCCACAATATACTTAACCAACTTGCTTTTTATGGTGGTTCTTCACTCGACTTGACTCGAACCCTAACATAAAAGTAAAAGGAAGAAAATCTCCGCAATATAATAAACCAACTTGCTCTTTATGGTAGTTCTTCGCTCGACTTGGCTCAAACTCAAACACAAAAGTAGAAGGAAGCAAATCTCTGTGATATACTTAACCAACTTGCTCTTTATGGTAGTTCTTCACTCGACTTGACTCGAGCACAATGCTAACACTTGATGATGCAATGTCTAAACATCAAAAGGAAGTTGCAAAGAATGGGAAGAAGTAAGTTCAAAGTAGATCAATCTTGTTGATGAAAACTTGTAAATGTACATTTTGCCAGATACCAGAAAGGACTATTTCCATCCTACACACACAAAAAAAGAACATAATGGACCAACTGGAATTTTATCAACTTCCCTTCCTGCTGTTCTTTGCAAATACCATTTTGGTTTTGCTTATTGATATAAAAGCTGTTGTAATGAATTTAAGATGACCATTGATCAGGCAGGGTGAGAAAATAGCTTGTCATCGCTTTTCTGAATCTTTTCTTGTATTGTATCGGAGAAACAATCGTTGGTAATGCATTCTTTGGTCCACCAAGTATGCCGGATGCCTTAACCCATGTCTCCAAGTGCTTGTCCCAAGTATATTGTCTCATGAAATCAATGATCCCTAAGACTAGCTCCTTGCGCTCTTCGTCCACACCAACAAGCAAAGAGTAATCCATCACATCAACAGACTGCCAAGAAGAGAAACTTCATTAGCCATAAGAAGAAAAAGAGGCGACTCAACTCTATGGAGCTAATAAACATTTTACTTCAGCAATAATGTAAACCAGCTAAGAGAACATTTTCGATCAGTTTAGCACCTTTCACTCCAGCAAATGTTTTGCCATATCGTAGTGTGCCAACCTAAAGTATTCGCTGACACAACCTAAAGTATTCGCTGACAAAACCAAAGGAGACTAGTGTGCCCTCCCCATCATCACATTTCTTACATAGTACTTGGAGGTTATTATACTAATAGGAAACTTGATCAATGAAGATTCATATAGCCAACCCTAAATTGTTTGGGACTTATTGCTTTAATATAATAAAAGAAATCTTGAGATTCAGAGCAGTTACCGCTAAAAAGGATGTATCATTCCAAATAGCTCTCTCCAGACTTCTTTTTGCTTTGCTTCCAAGAAATATAGGTTTGGTACGCAATATTTCTAAAAGATTCAAGTCCAACAACACACTGTTTGCCCCAGTTTTGTCTGCATTGTAACGGGACCTTAGAGAACCCTTAAGATCATAGACCTTAGATATTTTTCTTCCAAAAAAGAGATTCTCCATCACAATCAAGTCCATTTTCGTTTCCCTGCCTCCTGTCAAATGTTTGACTGAAACCTAGTATATGCAGCATAAATTAAAATAAGATTCTGCAGCAAGTTTAACATTATCAAAATGAAAGGAGAAGTATTTCTATTCACCACCAAACAATGCTGCATAGAACAGGCACAAAGAGAGAGAGAAAAAGGGGGTCCAACCTGATATATTCCGAGAACTTTGGCAAGGCAAGTTGGACTTCTTGAGCTAACAGAATCTGTTAGATATTTGAAGTAGTTGGGTCCAAATTCTTCAAAAGATTCTAACTCAGTTTTTTGAACTTGTTTTATTATGAATCTTTCATCCAATGACTTAGCGAAATAAGCATTGCTCTTTCCGCCTTGAGCGCTCCATCTCTTACAACGGCTTAAAGACCGTATAAAGTCCAGTTCATCAGGACAGTATCTCTTCCTGAGAGCATCAAACTGCTTAGCAAAGTAACAAGTGACAGAAAACTTCACCTTTCCGCCAGCATTTGAAGATTCGTCCTCAAAAGAGATCCTTAGGTGAGGGGAGGTCTTGGAATCTGCAAAGATGGAACTAATTGTACTGGAAGCATCTTCAGAACCATGGCTTCCATGATGGATATAATCCATGTCTAGAGAGCCAAAAGACTGCCATCTTGAAACATTACAGGCCACTCCATTCTCCTTCCTGATGTCATTTGTGTTCCAACCCCTTTCAGACACATTTGGCTTATCAGTCACCCGTTCTTTATACTGTTTGGAAGCAAGAGCATACGATATTATGCTAGTAGGTTCATTGTCATAAACAGCTATTACAATGTCATTGAAGCCATTGTGTGGAACCATTAACCTGGGTCCATCATGTATAAGAGATGCATAAGAAATAAACGAGGGTGATGAATTCATTAGGAGATTAAACTTCTGAGCCTCATTGGGTGACATTAGAGAATAAGTTCTCTGAACACTTATAACAGGGTCTCTGATCATATTTCTATAGTCTCCAGAAGCATGAAAAGATCTAATTGCTGATAAATGCAGTGAAGAAGGCGGCAATCCCTTCCTGATTCTTTCTTGAAGTCTCAGTGCAGAGTCGAAGGAGTTAACTCGTGCTGGTGATTTTACCCTTGCAATAGGAGGATAATCAAGTTGACTCAGTTGTCTGAAAGAAGCAGCTTCAGATCCATTTCGTTGTAATTTCATATCTAACAAAGCTTTTTTGGGAGATCGGTCAGTACCAGTCCAAGCAGAATCTATCTGATCAGAAAGAACAGAACCAGCTGAAGGAGCTCGTTCCAAGGGTGTTCCATTAACTGCATTTTCTCCTTCCATATGCTTGTCCTGCGTTTTCTTGAACTCACATGAGGTAAACATGGACTCTTCCAGCCTATAAGGTGACCCATGAGTCTCCTCCTCTTCAGACTGAAAAGGTTTCTGAGGATATTCATCTAAATTTGAGAATTCAGGTTCTGTCTCTTCATAGACATGCTCAAGAGGGCCATTTTTCAGAAACACGTTGTTTCTCCAATCTATCAGCTCACTACAAGATCCAGTATACTCTGAACCGGAGGTCTCTTGGAAGAGAGATTCCACAGATAAAAGACGACGATCCCAAACATGTGAAGCAATCACAAGGGAATGCCTCAAACGATTTAGTTCAAGAATGTCAACCACTGCCTGCGCTTGTTCTGAAGTTTCTGCATCAGCAGTTTGAAGCAAGTCCTGTTGTAGAAACAAACAGAAGCAGCAAATATAAGGAACAAGAGCACACTTATTCCTACACACTTGAATACATATAATTTGGGTTGAAAAGGAACATGCAGAAGCATTATACATCAATCTAAAATTGGTGCTTACATGGTAATCGCTCTTTTCTTTCATAAGTAAGTCTTTTAACTCCATGATGCAGTCATCCAGCTCAGGTTTATCAGATAAATCATGTTCTAAAGAGGATCTTTTCTCTTCAATCCTGCGAATAGCACTGGATATCTCTGCATACAAGGCCTTGGCTTTGCACAATAGCTATAGGAAGCATAACATAGTATTAATAAGAGCTATTGGAAGCTAAAACTAAAAATAAAAAAGACGACCAGAAAAATCCCAAACATGCAGCACACCTCATCTGTTTCTTTCCGTAACCACTCCTGCTCTTCATAGCTACTGAACATAAGAGTTGATGGAGGTAGACAAACTGACAGAATATCAATAGGAGAATAGTGGAAGAATGCAATCATACTTCCACACCTGTAAAAGCAAATGGGGAAATTTTATTCTCTAAATAGCAGATGCAAATCCAAAAATTGAATGATCGAAGTGATTGCACGTTACTGGCAGACGACAAACTACATTCTTAAGGTATAGTACGATGTACGCACCCATAAAACCGGAGGCAATCCCGTTGGAGAGAATGACCACAGCCAGCAACACGGTTCGCAGTTGCATTGTTTGAAAAACTAAGATCCAAGAACTTCCCAAATGAGAGTCCCCAAGCAGCATCTGACATTACTACTCTTGGAGTTGCTGGTGGGACTCCTTCTATACGGGCACACTTGAGGCATCGATTCCACATCCATATCTTGTTATCCCACTCACCAGGCAGCTTCACAGAGTGTTGCCGTCTAATATGTATAGTAAGATTCCCTTGCTGGTGTGTATAACAAATGACATGGTCCTCAGCTGGCTCCTTGCATGATTGACAGGAAGGTATCTGGAACATGAAGTGCCATACATAAATAGCTCGAAAGTACTAACATTGGACATAACAAGATGACTTCTATAAACTTTTACCTGACCAAAAAGATCATCCAGAAGAAATCGCCCAAGTGGCTTGTCAAAAGATCCATAAAACTTTATGCGAAGAAGCCGAGAACGTTCACATACATTTCCATTTAGAATACATCGACTTGAGAATGATACTAGTATGCTTTGACGACTGTCAGCAGCTGAATATGATTCATTAGAGGGTTCAAATTCATCTGATATCTCAAACTTTGACAGATCTGGCGATTCACTTGGTTGAAACTCCCCTTGACCTAAAGTTACTAGTGATCCTTCAATGGTATCATCTAGGGTGGTTGGATCTTTAAAAGGAGGGTAATGATGCTTCACCAACGATACTGGTAACCCGACGTCCGCATTGCAGCTGGCAGATCCTACAAGGTTATGTGGGCCATTACCAACTCTATGGTGTCTTGCCGAGGAAGCAGTATGAGAAATCACTGAAATAGCATTATCTGCAGATGTCATCTCTGGTATGGCAACAGAAACTTTAGGTAGACTAGCACCTTCATCAGCAAGGAATGATGTCTCAAGGGACAGATGATATGCCGCAAAGACGGCATACTGGAAGACATTCTTCACCTTCTTGAGTTCTTCACAACACAGACCCCTCAGCAAGACCTACAAAATGTCAAATGAAAGGATAACTAACATCGGTTTACAAATTCAACCTCTTGATATTTAAACTAAGATATAACTGCAGCAATATCGGTTTACAAATTCAACCTCTTGATCTTTAAACTAAGATATAACTGCAGCAATATCGGTTTACAAATTCAACCTCTTGATCTTTAAACTAAATATAACTGATGATCCTTTATGAGAATGCAGTCTTAAGATCTTTGTTTTCCTATTTTTAACTCACATAACCATTTACGGAAACTCAAGATCATTGTAGGGATCAATTCAGTGACTAAAGAACAGGATGAAAGTTAATTTAGCATTTTCAGAATCATACAGCACTTTAGACTGTACCTGATGATTAGCTACAGCTGATCAAAGCATAAGCAACCTACAAAATTTTACTAGAGTGATAATTTACTATGGCAGATGGTGTACGTTTAAGACAAATGATTAATAATAGTACAGATTGTGTCGACTATAGAGGCAAGGGAGTCTAAAACTAAAAGAGAAAGGTGATATTATAAAGTATAGGTATTTTTCGAGTAGATATGATGTAGGTCTGGTTTGTACAGAAGTACTCACAGACCAAACAGAAAGATGAGAGAAGATGATTTGCTCTAGTGAATGACTTGGATTGCATTGCTAGCTTACACTGGACAAACATGAGTATACAAGAACCGATCAATTTCACTCTATTGTTTTCTTTGGCTTATACTGTTTTCTCTTTTCCCTCCCATTGCTTCCGGGGAAAAAAGTTGTCTTCCCTTCGGGAAAACACTTAATTTCGATGATATAGCTTCGCAGTATGTCAAGGTTTGCCATGAATAGTAAGACCACTGATCCTTTTCAATTACAATATTAAGATTCCCCAATAGACACTACATGAATAAGCATTTCATGAATGTTTGTCATTATAGCTCTTGGGAACATGAAACCGCCGAATTAACATTAAGATGTCCAGGGCATAAAAGTTTGTCAGTGAATTCAAATCATTTATGAATGGCAAGCATAACTACAATCATAGGAGTATTATATATTGTGGATTCAAAAGTGTGGAAAGAAGTGGACATGTCACGCTAAGAGACTGCTCTAAAGCACTTCCAAAAAAATTACATGACAAGCAAGTGAAATTTGAAATTTATCCATTCATGGAAAGAGGAGACCAGAAGAACAACCAGTCCGCCCTCTGTTCTGTTTCTAAGGCAATCTTCAGTTTCTTAGTAAGAGTGGGCGAGGATGTTCTGCATAAATAGTAGACATAGGTGATAAATAAGAGAATATCAAAGAGCTAAGCCATACAGAGTTTCACAAATTTAGCACAAGGTACTTTTTGAATCCAATGTACTTATGAAATATGCATGATACAAGTCTTAATTAGAGCTCAAACATATAATAGTTTTAGCAGAAGAAAAAATAATTTTTGAAGTCTTGAGGCAGAGAAAATACCGTGCAACCTAAACGTGTGGGACAACCATCAAAAAACATCAAAGTCTTTGATGGCTTCTTGTTGAACTGGTTTGGAGGTTCATGCTCTTCAGAAACTTTTTCTAAATGAAAGAGCTCACAATATCCCAATCTAGCCATGGCTATGTTATCGATGGACGGGGTTATAAGAGCACCAGTGCACCTGGCTATCCGCTCCAGCAGTGGCCGCTTAACATTTAACACCAAAGAGATCTCTTTTTTCAGTAGATACTCCTGAGCATGAGAAGATACACTTTTCTCTACAAGTAGCACATTAGGATGGTGGGCCTCAATTTTTGAAACAATCATCTTCAGATGCTCCCTTTCCTGTTAGAATAATAGAACTCATAAACTTGTCCCTAATTACTCTTATCTCAAATTCTCGAATCATAGAAAGATAGACAATCCACCAAATACCTGTTGCAATAATGTGTTAAAAGATGCCAACTGATTGGGAATTTTTTGGTACTCAAGTGCTCCTCCTAGCAGAAGCAATCTAGCATTTTTGCAGTGTGAATTCATTCGCTTGTGTTTGATATTCTTCGTACAGACTACTCCTTTAACAAGGGTGCTGCATTGAAACAAAACTGAATGATGAGACATGACTAGCCAAGCCTAAGACACAAATGTTTAAAGAAAAGACTAGTTACCTCTCCCTTGGACTTCCAGAAGCTACACATTTCACCTTTACATAATAACCAGGATCCATGCTGCCTCCTTCACTAGTATCTGGCTTCACAAAATTCGCAGCTTGCCATGCTAGTGATGTAACTATGTCAATCCAGTCATCAGAACCGCTTTCTTTCCCCGACTTTACTCCTTCACCTTGCAATAACTGTAAGACAAGAGCCCTGAAATGGCCCTGTACAACAGCTTTCATAGGTTCCTTGTGATCCACATGCTCTTTATCCATGGTGGTGAGGTTTGCACTTGAAGAAAATATTGCAGCCGATTCTCCAATTTCATCGTCCTCATCATCATATGTGAAGAAATTATTTTCATCCTCATCATCTTCATCAAGTGGAGGAGGAAACCATATGAAATCACTATTTCTAAGATCAAACGGCTTTTGCTGCTTCTCTAGCTGGTTGTGATATACAGACAAATTTTCAACACTAGCATCAGCAGTCTCTGGATCCTTCGTCCCTTTCTCAAGCCTTCTTAAAACATATGAGGCTTCTTGATCAAAGGGACCATTATTCTGAGACCTTGGGATCTCATTTTGATCTTGCTGTACAGAATGCCCAGCTCTATTGGAAGTAAAACGAATCCTAGAGGGGCTGTCCGATGGACTTGATCCAGCTGACCTTAAACTGTAAAATTCATGTCTAGTACTAACACTACTCGAATCTATATCTGAAGTATCATGAAAATAGCTACTTGACGGACTAAAAAATTGCCTTGTTGAATCCCCTCCTTCGTCTTCATCACTCCTGATTATTAGCAAAGGAGTAACAAATTTTATTACCAACAAGACTAACAGTTCCTGTGTCCCAAAAGCAGCTTACAACAACATACGAAGTGTAATCCACAAGTGGGGTTTGGGGAGGGTAGAGGGTATACAGACCTTACCCCTACCTCATAGAGATAGAGAGGTTGTTTTTGATAGACCATCAGCTCAAATAAAGCATTTCCAAGCAATTTGAAAAAGGGAATAGAAAAATGAGAGCAATAACAACAACGAAACAATGTGAAAAAGGAGAGCAGTAAACAACACGCAGAGGAAAGAACAATAATGACAATAAAATAATGTGATAATCAAAGAACAAAAAAACCAGCTGATAACCAAAACCGAAGAACAAGAAACTACAAGAATAGTTTGATTGGACTCCGCACTCAACTGAAACAATTGTGAGCACTGTTCAATTCACATATAGGTAAATGAGCAAAAGGATTATAAGTTCCAATCTCTAGTACAAACAATGTCAGAGGCTTCAAAAACTAAATCAACAATAAGATAATTTAATGATTATGCAGGATATATGTTCTTCCATCTAATATTTACAGATTTCAAAAGCACATCACATTGATAACAAAGTTAATACAAAAACTACAAAATGATACCCTTGCTCAGTACGTACCTGCTTGGCGAGTGACGTAGAGATATCGGAAACGGATGACCTGAAAAGGTTGTAAAACTACTCTTAACTGGTGTATGTGAAGAATAACCATCAAATCTGTCACTATTGAAATTTGTTGATGTTGATTCTGTGCTTTCTCTAGGAGACTCAAAAGGACAAGTTTTGTCTCTATACTTCCCAACACCATTATTCCAAGTCCTTAACTCGGAACAAAACTTGCAAGACTTTATACCAACCACTTCCCCTTTTAATCCAGATGCAACAACATCAAAACATCCATTACTGTGAGTACAACAATCACCGCAGAAAACTCCATTGCAAATTTGGCAATTGTACTTGTTGCAAGAATCGGTAAACCTCATCTTGCATTCCCAACAGATTTTTCCACTGTCAACATCCATGTTTAATCCACTCATTCCCCGCGAAATCCAAGATTTAACTTTCTCAATCAAATAAAAAACTGAACTTTCAAATACTCCCATAGACTGGAAGTAATGAGTAAACCCCACCAAGAATGGCAATACAATTCTGCCTCAATTTATCAAAGTTCATAACTTTTTCTCCTAATCTGTATCTAAACACAATGGAAACTATCAAACCCCACAACAAAAAATGGGGGGGTTCTCTTTTTTTTTCTGCAATTTACATTAAGTATATATCTTTTTTCTTTAAAGAATGTATATGAAAAAAAGTTCCCCCAAAAATCACTATATATTGGAAAGGGGAAAAACAGATTACAGTAATTTAGAGTGAGACCAATTATGGTATGTACACCAATGAAATGACCTGGAAGTATAAAATCTTGAAAACAAATAAGGAGTGAATTTAAAGTGCTTTTGACCAATATATAGATATTGAAACCTAAACACATAAGCTCAACCAATCCCAGAATCTTCAACAATAGTTCCCAAGGTCCAATTTTTCATTACAAGAAACACAAAATCCAAAGCTAGGTACCCATATAAACTAGTTATACTTAATAAAATCTCAAAAAACAAGAACCCCACCAACAGAAAAGTGTCAAGAAACACAAAATCCAGAGGTTGGTACCCAAATAAACTAGTTAAACTAACCAAAACCCCCAAAAACAACAACCCCACAAGCAGAAAAGTATCAAAACAAAAGAATCCAGATCAAGAAAACACAAAAAAGGATTAAAGTTCCAATCTTTTGATGAATTGTAAATGGTTTTAAAGAACAAAGAGTACAAAAATGAAAAGGAGAAAAAGGAAGAGTATAGAATAGAAATTTTTCCCTTTTCTAGTGGCTCTAATCTCCATATACATTATACCCATAATCTGCTGCTTCTGCTTCTTCAACAAGAACAATATTTTATCTCTCTTTCCCATTTTCTCTAGCATGGCTTTTGCTTTCAATTTCATTTTTCACTTCTCAAACTAAACATTAAAATAATAATCCATTAAAATACTCTTCTTTTTTTGTATTTGTGTATATATCAACATGCAACTTAGCTATATAGAATTCCACATGCATATATATATATATATATATATATATATATATATATATATATATAA